ATTTGTTACTGTGACGTTATGTCCATGTCTTTGTAGACGATCCCCACAAAGCCTTTGAAGAAGCAGATGTAGACTGGGAAACGTGTTGGCATTACTAGCGGGATATGGAATCGTCCAATCTTATCGTGTGATTTGTTGGTTGTTTTAATATATCTGCTTACCAATTGGTGAAATAGATGGACCACCATTATAATGGACTATAATAAATGTAATTTTATAGTCATGATTTGTTCTTTAGCCCAGCGCCTCAAAAGTCCCCTATTTTTGGATTTAGTGTAGTTGTATACTCGAAAATTGAATTTTTTTTACCATCCTATCACCAGTGAAGTAAAGCATCCTTATAACAGATGTGGTGCTGATCAGGGATGGTAACAAGATTTTAAAATTCATTTTTAGAAAGATAATTTCATCACCATGATAACACTGTACTACAAGGCGGTGATCAGGGATTTCTCACCTTTATACCAAAGATCACTGTAATAGCAAAGTTTAAAGGTCATGAAGTGGTTAACCATTTATGACAACTGATCACTAGTGATTTGATACAAAATTACATGGTACCATGATTGGCCCAGGTACCCTGTGATAGCTGTGGGCCAATCACAGCTGTTATGAATGAAATCACAGAGCAATAACTGGGCTCCAAATTCCAGTGTCTGGGGACAGCATGGCACCCCTCCCTTAGCCCAAGCTGCCAAAGTAAGGTTCATGCTTTGTCTGCAGGTGCCAACCTTCTGCAGTATATACACACTGGCTGGTTTGCAACTGCTACTTCTACCACTACCTTTACTATACTGCTGTGACTACTACCACACCCAATGCTACAACTATTACTCCTAATATTACCCCATTACCATCTTGCAATAACTAGTACTACTCTGATCACTACCAATGCTATTACTACCACCACACTACTGCTAGAACTGCTCCTACCCCTCCTCCACCCCCAACTTATCTGAAGGCCTCCATACCCCCAGCTACAAATATTAAATGCCCTTACCATTACTCTATGCTGCCGCCACTTTACTCCCCATGCTATGTAGTTACTACCCCTAGTCTACTACCCGTACACTGAGACTAAAGCTGCGCCAGCATCTCCTTCCCCCGCTGGAGAAGTACTACATTCACTGCCACAACTACTACCTGTACTGGGCCACTGACTTCAGCATGTGATTGTTAGGCTGCCTTCACAAATATCTGCAGCAAAAATGCACATGTGGCTTTACTGCTTTCATTTTATGTAGAACTGAATGCAGCAAGCCAGAACCTCAAACAATCAGACCCACAACACGAGGGTGAAGAGTTCCATAGGAATACATAGTAACCCGTTTTCTCACACCTTTCATTCTGGAGCCTGAAAGTTTTGTGTTTTTTTTTTTTAAAGACATTAAATTTCCAATCAAACATTTTGATCATTTAATCAGACTACACAGGCAGAAGAATGAAGCATTAGTCACCATGTGTACCTTCTAAGGATGCATTCACACTTAAGCATTTTGTAGCTTGAAGCTCTGAAAACACAAAATAAAAATTGTTCTCTATGGTGCCTCTGTGTGTAAAACAGACACCAAAGAAAGATTTTTCTTCACCTCAAGTTTGAGCTTTTTGGAACTTGAAGCTACAAGCGGCTCAAGTGTGAATGCAGCCTAGAAGTAATGCAACCAACCTCCAGCAGGAGGGCGCTATAGACTACAGCAATGAATACAGAGTCAGTTTAGTGCTCAATAATAAGATTGATCAGACACAATAGAGCTCATTGGATTTTATTTGAAATGTGGATGAAATTCATTTCTAGCAAGTGATCTGAGCAAAGCACAATGTATGGCTACATGAGCAGCAAGGAGGCAGATTGGAAGGAGAAGGGTACAAGACAGGATAACATTTCTCTCCATCCATTATGGCCATTTCACAAGAGCCGGGATATGGACACGTGGGAGAGGTGGCTCCTCTATTGCAGATTCTTCATTTCAGTGTGACGGACTTGAGCCGGAGGTGTTCCACCTGCAAGCAAGAGATCTCCTCTATGGGAAAGCGGACTGGAAATGTGAAAGGATTTCCTGTAGGCAATTGTATGGTGATCTTGTCTTGCTCAAAAACAAGAAGGAAACCTGTAAGAAAAGATGGCAGTGTCAGCTGTAGATACAAAAGACTGACCTTTATAGTCCAGCAAGCTAACACTATCACCAAAATATTTCAAACTAAAATCTTTCCATAAGGAGATATGTGCATGAAGCTCATCTTCTGTATTCTTCTTGTGTTACAGAAAATTGCTAATGGAAAGGAATAATGGAAGGATGAGCTTCTGCACTGCAATGTTTTAGTAACAGTCTGAGGACGGTCTGTCATCTAGACCAATGACTGGAGCCCTCAGATCAATAGCTTTTGGCCAGTTTGGAGTCTGGGTCTGCCAGCTATTCTCACCCAGGGTTCCTTCAGAGGTTTCTAGGGGGACCTAGAGTTGGCCAATTAGGCTCCCATTTGATGGTACCTGCCTATTTTTGGACCCCAACCAGGGGCAGACTGACAACTCATGGGACCCTGGGGCAATAGGGGGATCATGGAGCCATGAGCCCCTGTATCCTTGCCCACACTAAAAGCCTATGAAAGGTACCAGGGGCATTCATGGGGCCCACAACTGACCCCAGGCAGTGCCCAAGTTCCCAAATGGTCAGTCTGCCCCTGCCCCCAACACAACTTTGTGAAGCCAGCTTCAGGACACATCCTTTTCACTGCCTGCAAGAGTGGCATTTTGACCACCACTGGAAATTGGGTACAGACTGAAATTGGTTTAAGCAAGGCTTTCCCAGAGATCAAAAAACTTCAATGGTTCCACTGGGGCCAATGGTGGAGAGGCTGCTGTATGCCATGCAAGCTATATAACATCTACACTACATGCCATGTATTAGAACCATGAACGTGCTCTGAGGCTCTGTTCCATAGGATTCCCTGTCAAATTTTAATCTCCCCCTTCCAGGGGCCCCAATACACATTTGTCCTAGCCATGGCTCAAGTGAGCCCTTGGACAAGGGTCTCATCTACTATGACTGGCTTAGGGTAAAACACACGATCTTAAGTTACAGGCCAGCCCCCCCCCCCCCCTCCCACTACTCCCCAGATTGAGCTTTACAGAGTCGTTGTCAGGGATTTACTTATCCCCATTCCCTTGTTTTCCTAAAATAATCATCCAATATGCATAACATCAACAACATATACACAAAATAGAAAGATATTGGCTTGCAAAATGTTACATGAAAACATTTTCCCTCAGCCTCAGAGATTCTGCTCTTCCTGGCTCTCATCCTACCTGTCACAATGCTCCTTCAGCGTTACCTATAATGCTACCACCTCCCCCTCACTCCCCCTCTCTGTTGGGGGTCCCTCAAGGCTCTGTCCTTGGGCCCCTTCTCTTCTCCATGTATACCTCCTCCCTTGGCCAACTCATTCACTCTCACGGCTTCAACTATCACCTCTATGCCGACGACACACAAATCTCAACCCCCCACCTCACCCCTCAGTCTCCGCCCGAATCACACCTACTGAGCGACATATCAGACTGGGATGTTGCTCCACTTCCTTAAATTGAACCTCTCCAAAACCAAGTTTCTGGTCTTCCCCCCCCAGCCAGACACCACCCCCTCATTGATTTCTCCGTCACATCCAACAACGCTACCATCAAACCCGCCCTGCAGCCAGAGTACTGGGTGTCATTCTGGACTCCAACCTTTCCTTCCAGCCCCAAGTCCAATCTTTAACAAACTCGTGCAGACTCCACCTCCACAACATGCAGACTCCACCTCCACAACATGCAGACTCCACCTCCACAACATGCAGACTCCACCTCCACAACATGCAGACCTCCATGCCCTCCACACAACATCGCCAAAATACCAGCACTTTCCTCCAACACCCACAAAACATCCCACTAAACAGCTCATCCACTCCATCACTCCCTCATCATATCACGACTCGACTACTGCAACTCCCTCCTCACTGACCTGCCTCGCCGCTGGCTATCCCCGCTTCAGTCGATCCTGAATACGGCTGCCAGACTCATTCACCTTTCCAACTGCATCGCTCCATCTCCGCCACCCCCCTCTGCCAATCCCTCCACTGGCTTCCGATTGCGCAACGGATCAAATTCAAAATCCTAACACTGACGTACAAAGCTGTCGTCCACCATACTCCCCCGAACTACATCACTGACCTAATATCCAAGTTACCGCCCAACACGCACACTCCGTCCTCACAAGACCTCCTCTCTAGTTCCCTGGTCTCCTCCTCCCATGCCCGCCTCCAGGACTTCTCCAGGGTGTCACCCATTTTAATCTGGAACTCCCTGCCCCAACCCATCAGATTATCACCTACTCTCCTCTCCTTTCAAGGCGACCCTTGAAAACCCATCTCTTCAGGGAAGCCTACCCCACCCCCTGCTAAAACACCGACCTCCTCCACTCTTCCTACCACTCCATCCCCCACAGCTATCTCCTCCTGTCCACCATCCCCTCCCTCCTAGATTGTAAGCTCAAAGAGCAGGGCCCTCGAACCCCTCATGTATCACATTGTATTGGTATTGTTCTGTCACATGTTCTGTCCTCCTTTGTAATGTACAGCGCTGAGCCAACTATTGGCGCTTTATAAATAATGTAATAATCATAATAATATTTTTGCAAGCCAATATCTGACAACCATTAATGTTACCAACAGCAACCATTTTCTAGGTGGTACATCAATGGCAGCATGATGGAATCCATTGCATCTTCCATGTGTGGAAGGGTCTCATCCTTCATTGAATGAGCTGAAGGAGTGACCTATTATAGCAATTACTGCATCTTTTCAGAGACTGATGTGTCCAATATGAACAGTGATGCCACTTTGCCCCATCCTCCATTTTTCCTGCCCCTCCCATTGAAGACATACTGTGGTGTCTGATCCTTGTGCGAAGGGGAAGAAGCTTTCCCTCTGCTCTTCTCCCCAGACATCGTCCACCTTTGAGTTCAAGATCACCGTGAGCTGGTCTCCAACATTGTTAAAGCGAGGACAAAAGTGTAGCACAAGATTCTTCTCATCTGTTCCCAAGTTTATGACAAACCTAGAAAGACAGAAAAAGCACAAATTCTGCTCAGTTCTTGTCAGATCTAGTACTCGAGTCATTCACCTGTGGTACCCATGTGAATCAGAGGTACTTCTGCCACCCAAGTCACAAAATATCACAATGTTTTTGGAGACTAAAACTGACAGTTTGCATAAAAACATGGGGCCCTGGTAATCCTCTATACCAAGAGTACATAAAGTGAACTTGTAGCCTAGATATGGACAGACGGTTGTCTACATACACAAAAAAAAAAAGTGTAGTAACTATGCGCTGAGAAAATCCCAAAATCCCTCACTGACATTTGTAGTTGCAGCCACTGTGGAGCAATTTCTCCTGAAAGTTGACGAGAGAAATAGTGAAGTCATTCAAGTCTGGGAGGATGTCACCAGCACAGCAAGCATCACCAATGTGGGTCCAAACATTTTAATGGATTACATAGTTACAGCAAGGCAACATTTTGAAGAGACTTGCAGGACCCCCTCATCAGGCATGTGTTCAGTTCCAGCCGACAGTCACTACAGCACCCACTTATACACAGCCATTTTTTAAAGAAGGAAAGTGTGCGTTGAGATGGGAGTGCAGAGAGGTTGAGATCAGACTTGAATGACCGTGTTCAATCCAAATAGACAGGGAGAAGGGTGATCTGAGCTGATGGGTCACTGTTGTGGGAGGGAGAAGGGTGAACTGGGCTAAGGTGTCACTGCTAGGAGGGGGAGCTGAGAAGTCACTACTACTTTGTGCCCTTTCACTCCCTCTTACCATTGGACCTCTAACTAGGTAAGCAGTAATGATGAAGCTCTTTAATGTAGATGGAGGATAAATTTCCTCCACAGTGCCTGCAGCTATACAGTTTGGTGAGGTCCAGGAGGAGAGAGATAGAAGTCAGCTGGCATCTCATATGGTGAAATTGTGTCAATGAAACAAATATTTGAGCTAAATTTGCTGTGAGCAAAACAATCTGATGTCAGGCATTTGAGGGACCACGCATGCCGAATTCCCAGCATGTAGGGGTCAGTAGGATGTACTGTACATGGAACACTTTCCTGCTTCTGCAAGGTAAACTTCTGGCAAACTATTATACAGAGAGCAGACATCTATTGTATAATAAGTAGCTGAGGATGGAACCGTGACTTACACTTCACAGTCCTCCGGAATGAAGCCCTTCACCTCCACCGAGTGACCAGGTTTGAGGCCGATGTTGTAAAAGGTAACAGTCTGTATGGGAGAAAGGAGAGAATTACTACACCCGGTATAATGGGGGGGGGGGGGGGGGATTATTACACCATTTATAGACAGAAGAGACATCTGATGGTTGCACTCAGAATAAGTTTGGGATTTCTGTGGGTGGCAGCACTTTGTGGGAGAGTGGAGGAGCTCAGACATCCCCAGCAGATCACAAATGTCTAATAACACATCAATGACATGACAATATATACATTTTCTCTAACATTCATATCATGTATGCCGGCTGCCCAGACCTTTCTAAGGTATAGTCCCATCTACAGACAGCCGGATGGTGCCAAGGCCTGCCCAGCATTCATGTTTAGTAATTATGTACTTGGTGGGTACAGTATGAGTTGAATTTTGGTCAGCAAGTTAGTCATCATGTGTGCACATAGGCGGACTGACCATTTGGAAACTCAGGCACTGCCCAAGGGCCTGGAGTCAGTAGGGGGCCCCATGAGATGCCCCTAGTACCTTTTTCGCAGTTTTTTTTTTAGTTTGGGCAAGGACACAGGGGCCCCATGATCCCCTATTGCCCAGGGCCCTATGAGTTGTCAGTCCGCCCCTGTGTGTGCATCAAATAACTGAACTGTCTGGCGTATCCACCCTACTCCCATCCCACCCCCAGCTTCCATCCTGCATGGAAAGAGTTAATAGGGCACAAATGGTTTAACCCAGAGCGGATGGACATGTCAAATCTCAGAACCGGACCATTTATAACACTGCACATTAGTATAAATCACAGAGGGAAGGCATGGAAATAATGAGCCACTATGGGCAAGTGTGGAGGAGAAGAGGGTCTGAGCCATTCCAGTATATGCCCAATACTAAGAATAACCAGGAAGGCAGACATAGCTCTGTGCCAGGACACCAATACACATACATCCCACCCTAAAGAAATAGATGGACAAATAAAATACTGACCCACACCCACCAACTGCTCACATCAAGTCACCCTATCAGGGTGATCCATATTTCTCAATAGTACACAAACAAAAACCAGAAGTAGACCCACAACTTCCTATACCCAACAACCCAACACCAACTTGTGTCCACACCAAGCAAACCAATACTCACCACTACCCACCACACTACACCCCACCATCCCCCACAGAAGCCATTTGCTCAGCTCTTGCAGCTTCCACCAGTGCTCATACTCACATTTTTTTTTAATTCTTTTATTTATAAAATTTCAAACAACAATTTCACAAAAATAACAATAGTCTTCTTTTTTTTTTTTTTTTTTTTTTTTTTACAGATTCCATCATCATCAACCAAAAAGAAAACAGAATACCTCAAAGTCAAAACTGCAATATTTACAAAATCATAATAAAAATAAACAAAACAAGCAAATAAAGCATTAACATTTACATCATGTGTCATGCGTTTTTTTTTTTTTTTTTTTTGTTTTGTTTTTTCCTCAAATATATACAAAAAAAAGGGTACAAAAGGAACAAAAAAGGCATTTCCAGCATACATCAAATAAGCTTGCAATTTTCTCCATTGCATTCAGAATGAAACTGTGCTTTTCCACTTGTAAGCTGTTTCTTTAGATGACAGAACTTCGTGAAATTGCAGACAAGGAGCAAAAAAAACCATAACTATCCCTACAACTATACAAGAAAACACCTATTCTCGCCCTCACCATCCACCCCACCCATTCCGGTAGCTCAGAATGCCGCCTTAAACAAAGAAAAAACAAAGATGTTAGAAGCACAATAATAACACAGCATCACGTCATGAACAGTAATCCTCTTATATCTGTACCCCCCTGGGACCCCAAAAGGAAGACAGAAGAAAAAACGATCGCCTCCCCTTCAGACTCCAGAAGTGTTGGTAAGACTTGGAACCAGATCATCGCAACACTGCAAACCTCCAGAGGACGCAAGGAAGGCCATCAATAGACCTACTCTGCAATCCCCCTAAGCAGCAGTCCAATTCTTCCAACACCAAATTTCCAAATCCTTTCGGCTTCTTCAGCCCCCAGTTTAAGCCGATCATAGTGACCGTAAGCATACAAACGACCACGGACCATGGCCGCACACTCATCAACACACTCAACCATTCTGTCTTAAAAAAACCCAAATTCCTGACATCCCACAAACTCTCCTTCACACAACCCATCAACATCCATAGCACTCTCCCCTCTGTCACCCCCACATTCCACAACCCATACAACATCATCTCATACGTCAACTTTCTAACTCCAGCCAAACCCTCTATCATCCTCTCCAACTTCTTCCATACCTCTCTAGCAAACCCACACTCCCAGAAAACATGGCACACGCTCTCACACCCCCACACAACCCTCTCTCGGACAACGTTCGGTATCGGACATTCCTCTTCTCCTCTGAAACATTCTCACAGGCAAACATCCATGCACCCCCATCCATCCAATATCCTTCTGCCTATTATTCATCCCTTCCATACAAATGTTCTTCCACATTCGCTTACATTCACTAACAGTCAACCCACCAATCCATTCCATCTGTTCACTCTCAGCCAATACTTTCGACACTTTTTTACAGTCATTCCACAAACTCCTCTCAACATCCTTCATCCCCAATTTTTCCATCCCTCTCTCGATCCTGACAGAAAACCATGGAGCTCTAAAGCTAACAGGTCTACGCAAATCACTCTCACCCCATCCATACTTCCTCAAAACGCTCCCTCCAACATACCTCACCATACATCCACTTAGACTCTCCTTCTTACTAATCTTCACGCACATACCCACATACTTCACAAACAAAAAATTTCTCCACATTCACCATACCTTTCCCACCATTCAACTTACATTTAACCACTTTCTCCCGTTTCAACTTTTCTGTGCGGGAGGACCAAAAAAACAGGAACATCATCCTTACCAATTTCTTCAGCACCCTGTCCTGGGCGGGGAACACCAGGTACAGAAATAGCAAGATTGGCAGGATCATAGCCTTCACCACTAATACTTTACCCTCAAAGGATAAGGTCCTTAGAGACCAAAAGTTCAATTTGGATTGCACTCTGCCCATCACATCTTCCCAACTTTCACGCCCAAACAAATCACAATCAAACTTGACACCCAGCACCCTCACGCTCCCCTTACACACCTTCCAATCACACTGACCACTCATCCTCCATTCACCAAAAAACTTACATTCGCTCTTCTCCATATTCACCCTAAAACCACTTGCAGCACAAAAAACATTCAACAACAACTTTACACGCTTCAAACTCCTCTCATCCTTACATACCACAGTCACATCGTCCATGTATCCAATCACCTTCAAACTTCTCCCTCCACTCCCGGGTACCATCAAACCTCTCACACATTTATCTCTCTCAAGCATCCGCAACAGAGGCTCAATCACACATACAAACAAGACAGGGGACAAAGGGCACCCCTGCCTCACACCCGCTCTCACTTCCACTCCCTCTGTCAACCACCCATTCACCTGCACTCTACTCATGATACCCGCATACAGACACCTAATCCACTTCATCATCCTCTCAGGCACTCCCATTCTTTCCAACACTCGATACATGAACTCATGCGCAACATTATCGTAAGCTTTTTCAAAATCAATCGTAACCACAGCCGCCCCTTGCTTCCTCTCCTTACAATCCCACAAAACGTCCCTCAAACATCCCAAACTTTCAGCAATCATACGCCCTGGCACCGCACACACCTGCTCCTCACCAACCATCTTACCAATCACTCCACGCATTCTTTCAGCCAGCACTTTCGCAATTATCTTGTAGTCA